CCCCAAAACCCCAAAACCCCAAAACCCCAAAACCCCATTATTTCTTAGTAAAATTGATAATGGATAATTTTATAGAAGTCTTAGACCACTTTAGAAATATCACTGAAGAATATTGGGATATTCACCAACAATGGATGGAAGATAACTCAATCATGAGCTATACTCAGGACTTGCCTACGGAAGAAGTTATTGATAGGATTTATACGTATTTCTTGAGGTTTGAAACTTATAGTATTCTTGATGAATTTTATGATTGAGTCAAGAAATCAAGAACTTCTAAACATATTAGTAATTATTATTTGTTGACTCTATAGGGGGGATGAAGTTTTTAAAACCATTGGTAAGAATATTGATAACTTTCAGCTTCGACCAAATGCTAGTTGGAACACTGAGTTATGAACTTACTATACAGATATTACTCAGGAATCAGTCAGATTTAGGTAAGAGTAGCGAATCAAATATAGGGACATATCTATAATTACTCACAAATAATTCTTTCTTCAACCTTTTGAAGCTCTTGAAGATTGTTCTTGTAAATCTCGAAGAAAATGCCAGCAAACCTATTAAAGAGATTCAGAACTCACAGTAAATTTCAGGTGAAATTAACGATTTAGAGGCTGAACGGTGAGCAACCAGGAAAGCTGTGTTATGAGAAAGAGGGAGATTTATTATAGACTCAAAGATGAAATTGATGTTGGCAGTGGGACGATTGATGACTTGATTTATACCCTAGGGCTGGTGTTGGGGGTGAAGAGGAAGGCCTTAAAGATTGCGTCTTCTAGTAAAGGGATGATATGGGGGGATTTTAATGGAATGGAAATGCATACAGGGGTTGGAGTAATGATACCTTCGATGGAAGGAGAGGAAATAGAAGTCTGGTCAGGTGCTGATTTCATACTTGTGATAGAGAAAGAGACTATTTTTAATAGGATTATTTCTATTCCTAATCTTTGAGATGAAATAGGGGCTAATGTCTTGGTAATGACAGGAAGAGGAAATCCTGATTATAGGTGAGGCTAAATTATAATTTTTAGTACAAGAAGATTGTTAAACATTTTAAGCAGAGAAAAAGGGATTCCAGCATTTTTCTTATGTGATCTCAATATTTATGGAATGGAGATATTCATGAATTATGCTTATGGGTGAATTTCATCACTTTGAGATACTCAAGATCTAGCCACTCCTTGACTCTTTTGGCTTGGTCCCTTTATAGAAGATATTAAGAATATTATCCCAAATGAAGATCCCCTTTGAAGTCAAGGTAATGAATCAAAATCAACAAGTGCATCATTCAATGAGTTTTTAGTAAGAAGCGAATACTAATTTGTAGCCTGCTGATGAATGGGATACTGATTTACTCAAAAATATAAAATTTTCAAATGTTGGCAAAGATAAAGGTAGCTCATGTTCTTCATTATTTAGAAAAGATTAAAACGATCAAGAAAAGAGCAGTACTGTGCCAAAAGCCTAGTGACACACCAGAGCTATCTTTCTCCCAATCCTCATTCCCAGACTACCACTCCTACAACCTCTCCTGTATGACCACCCAATTATCCCACCTCACCAAATCCAAACTCGACCTTGACCTCCTCCTCGAACTCCCTTCCTTCTTCACCACATACACAAAATCCAAAATCCTACAAATCTCCCACAACCTCCAATAAATCCCCTCCTACATCCAGCATCCCTACTCTAAATTCCCATTCTTCTTAAAAATTTCAATTGAAAATTTCCAGCCCGGGGTTTTGGGGTTTTGGGGTTTTGGGGTTTTGGGGTTTTGGGG